GTTATTCACCCTTAACGGATGCCCCATTTAGGCAAAATCTCGGAATGCAACAATAAAACCTTGCAAACGCGCGTCCACACAGAGGCTGTTAGAAAGAAATATTACCGGCAGAGATTAGAAGCGTTTTTCTCGGGAATATGAGCTTTCTGCACTTACACGGGAACGATTGAGGAGCTGCTCCACCTTCAATTGACCATTAAGTTCATAACTCTGCCTATGTGATGTAATTCCGAGAAAACCGAAGTGATTTGAGAAAACTAATTACAGAGGAGGCTCAAGAGTGTCATGAAAGAGATTCAGCGGGCAGAGGTAGTGTAACGGCAAGTGGGCATGCTCACCTACACCGAACCTTGGCTCGATACTCACCTTGGTCGACCGAGCATTCCATCTCTCTAAGGTCGATTAATTGGTGCCAGACTTGTCTGGGAGGAAAGAAGTACTCACGTACACCAGCCGGATACCGCAAGTTATTCCATAGGTCACATACGCATTCAAGCAGCCACAACGGTACTGGACGAAGGTCGAATGTGGGGCGTATCCTGGAACGGGATTGACCCGGGATAAGACTACTCTTTTAATCCTTATTGGGTTCAATACCCTCCCCAGAAGTGGTTGTTGTGGTTTGTTAAGAAGAAAACATTTTATTGTTTGCTAATCCTGTAGCGTCGGTTAATTCGACATCGGACCCCTCTTATTGGTGCTGGCGTGGATCGGTCCCACAAATTACGTCACCCGAACGGGGGAGATACATTTGTCCATCAACGAACACTCTCAGTGTCGAAATCCGCATATTTATCATCAAGGATGGGCTCTTATACGAATGTATGTATGCTAATTCATATTGATCCAAGCTCTTTGTCGGCGCCGATCTCTTGTCGCCCCTGTTGAGATAACCGAGAGAGCACTGGACACAACCGGGAATTTACATGAATCTCCTCAAAGCTTGTCTACTTTGAGGCGATTCCACCAAAATAACGTCCCGGAACGACTTTGCCGAAAGAAAACCACTCAGGATCAAATGGATGCAATCATTTGGGTTTTTTGCAGACTGCCAAGCTGAAAATTGCTTTGGGGCTAACAATGAAATGAGATTTTCAAGGTAAATGGGAGAGATGGCGAAGGAAAACAAAGCGGTACGAGAATACGTGAATAGAAGGAATCGCTTCGAATTTGCAGCAAAAGCCCGTGGGTGAGACGATAGATGGGCGAGCATCTCCCATGCCAGCGTTCCCATTGATCTCAACAAATGGGATACGTTGTTCAAATAAGCAGAGCCGCTATGAATTCTGTGCAGAACAGCGTTCCGTTTGAGACAACAAATTCGTCGAAGAAATAATCCCTAGAAGAAGAAGGGAGGAGGAAGAGGGTCGGGATAGGGAGAGGAGGAGGAGCCGTGGGAGATGAAGAAAATGAGGTCTGCACATCGTATCGTCTCTTGATCATGAACACTTAGAGAAAATCGAATAATTTATTTAATTGTTTACCTACTTAGCATTCGAAGCGCTGCACAGAGTAAGCAATAGGAGCATTACTGCTGCTTTACTTGGAAAGGCTCGAAAATAAATAGAACCCTGTCGGTATTTATTGACGAGAGTACTTTCTTGAGGCGAAGGGCACAAAGCCCTTTTCGACCTTCATATCTTCAAAAGATACTATTAAGCTATTTGGACAGAGAGCTTAAGCCTCAAGCATTGAGTGAACACCACCTTGAAGGCTATTATTACAGGGTTAGTGCCTTCAGTCCCTCTTTGATTTGGACGCAATTCGGCTGCATGGTCAGTAAAAATGAGGGTGTAAAAGCCGAAGCCCTAAACCTGCATATTGTCATTCATAGCCCAAATAACTCTATGGGTAGGTAAGAGAACTCTCTTAGAGAGAGTTTGTGTGACCAAAAACAAATAAATTCGAAAATAGTGAAGAATTCGAAATAAAAATGGGGAAAAGGGTAAGGGGAATGCCGCGTCCAAGACTGAAAGGGCGTAGAAAAGGGCAGCCATACGACTGCTCGTAGAAGCCACCTGGTCTGTCCCAGAATTACCCACAACTTAAATGTTTCTCAGTTGAATAATGAGTCACAAGCGGTTAGTCATAGTCGTAGTGTAAAATCCTACAGAACCAAAGCAGCGTCAGGAACCGGAGTGAGAGGATTAAATCGAGTATCGTTTCTCTACTTGGAATAAAAATGATTTGCTAAGGAAAGCAGCCTTCGGAGTCGTAGAGAGCCGTTCGTTCAATGTCCTTTTGAAGTGATAAAGACTCGACTACAGTTGGCTCCCATGAGACATTTCTTTTACATTAGTCTGTACTGAATGAAAGACGAGTACATGGCGCAATACAGCTTGCACATGACATATGCAACGAAGGAACGACATGAAGATCTGATAATTCAATAAAACAGGAAGAAAAACCTAAAATGGAATTGAGAACCATAATAGAGATCATCTTGATCAATAATAATTTCAACAATCGGGTGGACGTTGTCTATAGAGCTGCTCAAATGTTACAGTAGCGAGATTTTGTCTCATTGTTTAGAGTGAAAAAAAAGTTTTTTTTTTCAAAATGAGTAGACAAACTGTAAGTTGACTAACTGCTCCTATAGAGGAACTCTTCGCACAGACAGTCACCGTTCTAGCTTGCTGTCATTGCATCTGCCTCCTTGGGTTACGGTCTTTGTCATAGAAGGTAACAGTACTGACTACTTATGGTTACTGTGTTCGGCTTCAAGAGAATTGAAATGTATCGCTAATTCAGTTGTACCGATTATATTGACCTCGGAAAGGCCTCGTTCGTTCAATTTCTTTCTTTTCATGATTTTTCTGAATGCTTTGGTAGAAGCAGGACACTAATAAGAGCGATTCTGAAGAATAACCAATTAAGTGTTTTATCCCAGATGAAGCCCCACCAGGCGCTGATAGAGATCTCCATTCTGATCGAATAATATCGCAATCATGCATCCACAGGCTTTAATAAGATTAGAAAAAGGTGGTCGTGCTCCCATTCCACAGGGTCAGTTCAGAGAACCACAAATCTCATTCTCTGGATGAAAAATGGAACTTGGGATCATTCAAATTACAATATCATGATCGACACTTGAGAATGCTACTTGGAAATGTAATGCGCTTCAGTCTCGATGCTCTCCAATTTCACTGTCTTTTGTGAGTGAAATCAAATTCAAAAATATTTTAGCTGTCATTAGCAACCTTCGCGTTAGAGGGAAATGCTTGAAAATTAATTCATCTTCATATCTTATTTTCCATTGAAGTACCTTTTCTCCATCAAACAGTTCTCCTTTTTATGTGTCATGTATTTAACTATTTTAGCAATCTATATTTTATGGAAGAATAGCAATAATAAATCTCTAATGGACTTATTGTCAAGTTGATAGACGTAAGAATATTGAGAGATACAAACAAACAAACAAACAGATAAAAACAAAATTTTTGCAAACAGAATTTTTTTCGTAAAAAAACCGTTCGACTTAGTTTACAAGTCTTTCATCCTTCACTGAAGTTTCTATTTTCATGTCTGAATAGTTTTTCTATCACAAAAGCTTGACTCTGTTACTTTTTGAAAAAATTATTTTGTCATTTTTTTTGGAAAAAA